ATATCGGAATTTGAGTGTATTGAAAATGATGACCAAGAATCGACATGTATTCGATATTGGAAAGTTTTTTTCATTAATACTGAGGGTTAGATTACTTCTTTTATTATAACCGATCTCGATATCTTGATAAAGAAATAACAATAGAAAAAATTTACTTTATCAACAAGTGAATCTCTATACAAATATATATTTTTATGAAATAACGGGGTGGATTAGCAAATATAAATTCGGTTTATTAAAGAACAAACTTCCATGATGTAGAACTAAGCGCCACTCCGTTAATCACGTATGAGTACGTGTATTCGCCTTTACGTTTGATATTTTCGTTCCACTGTCTCCTTTTCCAACAGAGTTGAACTAATCTCAAGTCACATGACTAGAGACACTTGATTTATCTTAGGTATGACTGACCTAATGTTTACTCCAACTATTGCCTAGATGAAATCGGTTTAAAAAATAACCGGTGACGGATCCGTTAAACTAAAGGGAACGAAATAACGTAATGCGGCGAATAAAATCAAGATCAGAGAGAGAGAGAGAGAGAGAGAATTCAAAATTCTACCGTGAAAACTAACGCTCGGCGCGAATGCATAAACGGTCGCGATTGACAAAATACTTTCGCAAGTATTTTATCGCGCAAAAAAAGGGAGGTGCACCTACCCTGCGGTGCAATTACGATAATCAGCTGTAATTGTTCAGCAAAATTATTATTGGCCATGTTAATGCTCCTGGGGAACCTGATGCAACGGAGCTGCCCTTCATTCCCAGATCTGTTGCTGCTCTCCCGATTTTTCACTGCTACTGGCTCGGCTACTTGTTTATTGCACCTCGTTGTCACTCACGCACGTATCCAAAACTAATAAACTATCTTTCGGCAAACGACAAATCACGAGAGAAAATTTTGGCGGTTTCCCGAATAACAGCTGAGGCTTAACTGAAAATTTAACTCTCGCGCGCCCCCTCTTTCTCTTAGACGTTCGCTCTAGCATCGCGAGTGCTACCGAATCGCAAACGTATCGACTGATCGAATCGACTACCGTTGCAGATGATATTCAAAATTTTATAAATAACGAAGATTAAAGAAAATCGCTGTTTTTTCAACTTTGGAAGAATTTTTGCAATAACTTACATTAATTGAATTTCGAACGATGGAATCAGATTCATTTTTCAAAATTATATTGAAATATACGGAAAAACTGTCAAATTTTTATCCATTAGAAGATAAAACAATTAAAAATTAAAATTTTTCTAAAAAAGCAGCTTTGTCTCTATTTTTTTAAGGTCTAAGGCTCAAATTATCATAACTTGAATATTTTTTCTTTTTTTTTGCATTACATTAAGCTTACATTACACTAAGCTTTGAAATATCGTAGAATTCAAGTTATTACCTTTTCCCAGCTATAAGTATTTAATTTTTTTCAAATCTTTTTCCAAACCTCCCAATGTGTGCCCAAGCCATCCCATGGCAATATCTCCATGGCCGTCAAAAGAAACGTATAGTGCTCAAATCAAGATAGTGGAGGCCTTGACAAGACGCAAGCTGGGACGTCCTCTAAAAAATCGAGATTATTTGTATGAACTGTGTGCAAGAAGGACTTGGAAGAGGAACGTCAAGAACCGTACCTTCTATGTATCTCGGTGTAGACTGCTCTGAAAGGGAGGTGTCCACCTTCAATAGATAATGATATGTATGTCATAAATATTCTATGGGATGTTTTGCAGAATGAACTTCTTATTCGACCAGATTGAATAAGCCGTGACGGCCTTATTAATCTAGATCTCGCCAGAGAATGTGTGGCCCAAGCGGCCCTACACATGGTGGACCATCGGAGGGAGGAAAGAGAAGAGTACGCCTAAGCTCAAATCACCGTCGATAAAGTGCGTCAAGAGCTCAAAGAGGATATGGACAAAGATGCCTTTAAAATGCCTGGAGTGGTGCAGAGAGCTGAACGACCCTGCTAGGATATCCCGTTAGGGCGATTTCGGTTCGCACTATTTCCCAATTAATTATAATTCGGGCCACAAATCAGTCCTATTATAAGTAACTTCTTTTTAAATTGAAAAAGCGAGGTCACCAGCCTTTTCATATACCTTCGACATATCCGTGAACGGTAGGTTTAGCGAATAGATAGTCGTATAGCGAAGACTGGCTATAGTTGAAATGGATTGGTTAACCTTGAGCAGACAGTCATTAGCGCCTTCGACTCACTCAGAAAAGATGGTATACTCATGGCAGACTTTAGAGGTTCATCGTCAACAGTCGAACATCGCTGCAACTATATTCGCGCTATTGTGGAGGTTCGACGCTAACAGCTCCAGATCACGGAGAAATTCATGTCAAGCGCAGTGCCAAGGCGCCTTAACCTTAAGATCGCTTCATCATCTCTCAACGCCCGACTTAATGTGCTAAAGGAAATAAAGGTGGCTGTGAACATGAGCGTGGCTACAGGTACTGCAAACCTTACGCAAATGAATATTAGTGTGGTGATGAACGTCGCTCTATCCAACGAAATCGAACCCCCGTTTCGATCGATAGACGGCAAACTGACATAATGGCCTGCAGCTCACGCCCGAGAAAGAGAGAATATCTCTAGCGTCCAATGGAACGTTTGTCACTATTATTTGGTTACCTCTAAACCCAGATGACTCGCTGTCTTTGGGCCTCAGAATATCCTACGGTTGTCCAAACAAAATGTAAGGATGACTAAAGGCTTCCTCGATATCTATGTCTATTCTTTCTTACACTGTCAACGCCCAGTAATTCACCTAAGGGCACCGGCACACAAGCGTGAGATGGCAGCATTAGCCAATTATCTAACCGTTATTGACTCACACACGCGAAAATGAAGAGAGAGAGAGAGAGATAGAGATCTGGTATAGTTATCATGGTGTCGAACTTTCGGGCAAGTAACATGTGTGTGCGCGCCTATCTTAGGACTAAAAGCCTAGAAGGAGACTATTTGTCAGCTGTATACCGGAGTAAAAAGAGCGATAATCCGTATTTCATCATTGCACTTTCTTTAACCTAGAAACTCACCGATCGACAAGTAAACTAGCCATTTTTGCGCAAAATTAACTTGATTTATGGACAGTGACTCAATGTCGCATCACGATATAAATGCTCGATATTGATACGATAGTTAATATGTCCGATCTTCCCGGTCTTTGTACGTAGATTAGTACACGTTGTTAGCTAACAATAAAATTTGTCTTTGAAATAGTCTAAGTGTTTCCATGCACCTATGGTCTTGTTTCCATTTCCTCATATTAAAATCGAACGCACTTTGACGACAACGTGTCAGAAAGAAACGTTGTCTAAGCTAATTCGCATCCGTGTACGATATTAGCGTTTGTTTTCAGTATATAAACTATAAACATATATACTATACACTACTATATATGTTTTTATTCAATTCAATTCATAAGTTTTTATCTGTAAAGAATCTTATAGAAAACTGTGCAGAAGTAAATACATATTAAATATCCGTATATACATGATACACATACATTACATACTTCTCTAGTAAGGAAAGTTCCTGGTTTATTCTCATCAGGTACCTCGCCAGATTATGGATCGGGAGATGCTCGCCACGTTCGTGATGGGTACCGCAAAAATAAAATATATAGAGCTAAAACCAGATAGAGAAAGGAACTCGAAAAATGAATACATTTATAGGAGATGGTTGATAACACAAACAGTATTTCCTAAGAAGATACCATCAATGACGAAAATCCTCCTAGTGATCCGACTCGATGAAACTCCAGGTGTTCGTTGAAAGTTTCATAGATTTTGAGGAGAGCATTTCAACCGTTCACGAAATTGCTAGCGTGGAAGTGTATTCGATCACGATAGCAGTTGCAGCTACGAGAGAGAAGACACTGGCAACGCTATCTAGATCCTCTGAAGAAATCTTACAGAGAATGAAAAGAAACAGCAAGAGACACTGGCTGCTATAAAATACCGGCAATAGAGAAGGTGACGACATTGATAAATCGGTAAAACAGAACCATGCAACTGATATGTCATATGAGAGCGTATTGGTTAAGACGAGAAAGTGAAACGAAGAGATCATAGCTGCTTTTTAACTGGAGTTGAAAAGAACGCTTCAGAAAGCCGCTCATTCGGTAATCCAAAATAAGGGACAAAAACGGCCTGTACCTAGCTCACTCGCAGAGGTAGAGCGAAAAAATGTGCATAACGACTAATAGAAGAGTTGTTAGCTAAGGTCTGGAGGTAAGTAAAACCACTCCTAATCAGCCTCAATAAAGGTCAGGCACGCTGATGAGACCATAGCAGTTTGAAACAAAGTTTGAACTCCACCATCACATCAAAACAGTAGGATTAAGAGTAATTTTTTAACTTGATTTTAACACTTAATTTTTTAACATATTTTTTAAGTTTTAACGAGGAATACCTCTCCCCCTACTCGAGCTCACCGATTTCAATAATTTTTATTTTAGTTTATAAATTTTAGTCAGCTGTGGTGACGCCAGACGGTTGCTTCCCAAGAAAGCCATCTTTAATAAGTACTTCTTTTCGATACTATTCTTCGTATTTTTCTTAAAAATTTATTTGAACAATGAAAAAAGGATAAATATATATAAATTCTAAATCGCATATAATTTAATATAGTAAAAGAAAAACTAGACCACGAACATTTTATTTATAGATATCACTTTGAGTAAATTAAACTTATTCTTAAATTGCCTTTGATCAATCAAAGTTCTTATGTTTGAAAAGTTCTAAATAGCAAAGTTTGTAATTTTTTGTTGATTACATCAATATTACTCTATTACTTTCTGCATTATAAACAAAAATATCAAAAATAACATTTTTTCGCTTCATAGGTAGTACATAGATAGTACAATACGTATTATGTTACAAGATTATCCCTTTGATTGGCGTATTAAAACTGCCTAGTAACCGAGTAACATTAGCATTCTTTTCAAATGAATAAAAAAAAGATGCGATAATGATATAAACTTCATATAATACTTACCTATTCTGACTATTTCTGGTAAAGCTTTAATATCCTTAAGACTAGTCACGAGCATCAGTAACCATGTCAAATTCATATTTTGACGTTAACCTATAAATATTTATTTAGAATTAAGAAAAATTATCAAATATTACATGCAGTTAATTTATATGGAATTGTTCAAAAAGAAGTTTGATTATTATAAATTGATATTAGTTGAAATTTATTCACAATGACATTTGGAACAATGCATGGATATAAATTTCATTAAGAAAGGAATACAGTTTTCGAGTCAATCATTTATATTAATAATAATAATAATAATAAATTATATCTATCTGTGTGTGTTATACATACACCGAAACACATATACTCATGGATATTATAGAGGATAGAACACATCGATAAAACTTATTGATCCAGCGTTGTATAATAAAAGAAAGTTATACTTAATTTGAACCTAGCAAGAGTAATAGTTTCATAAACAAATTCTTTTTACAGTTTTTAGAGAAGTATTTCAAAACTGATGACCGCCACTGGCCTCTAAAAATGTGAGGAATACAATTAATTTTCATGGCTGTTAAATATATTATATCGTATTTTTAGTAGGCTTCAAATGTCTGTAGACAAACGAATCTGATACCAAAAAATTATCAGTAAAAAAATAACTTCTGAACTTTTATAAACAGAAAAAAATTGAAATTAAACATCAAATAAATATAATAGCGTGCAATTGACGGTGATACATAAACACTTTGCTCGCACGTTATTTCTGTGAAAACTAGTTAGGAATAGAAAGAAAAATATAGAATACAATCTAGTTGTTTTTAGAAGATAGACAATTAAGTTTCTTAATTAAAAATTTGCCACGATAAAATTAGATTGGTAGTATAAATTTATGTTTTCGAAGCGTTCAAATAAGCTAGAATATTGTTATAAAATGAAATTAATAACATTTAAATGTTGTATACGATTTTGATCAAAGTAATAAATCGTAATACTTCTGTTAAATAGTTGATAAATGATACGTTTCAATGCTAGTGGGTCGAAAGTAAATGTTATTTATAACGTTACACTGCGGACTGCATTTTAATACTGTATATGTGTACTGTATATGCATACTGTATATACTGAAATCCCAAGTACAGCAGGTACGTCGGAAAATCTCAACGCCAGCGTGGTTATAAAGCGGACTGGGCTAGTCGCTTTTACTTTAGGTACGTCTACAGACATCTATAGTTATGACGAGACCCTTGCATAGAAAAGAAGAAGGTGGGAATTGTTTCCACGCCTTGTATGCTAAATTTGGCGATAAGGCGCAATCATGGTGGAAAAACGAAATTGCTCATTTTAAGTTGCACTCAAAAACATCAGTGGTTATGCTGAATTCGTGACGATGATAAATGAATTTTCTTGCTATTCGTTCTTGCGTGCTCTGTGTCCTGTTTTAACAGAGCAAGTATGCGTGTAAAAGTGCAGATGTGGACCTAGTTAAGCGGCTGAAGGGAATCAGCGACTAGGGATAAGGTCAAAGGCATCCTGGATCTTAGAAAAGAAAAAGCACTTCCTCTAGAATATTTCCAACAAATGCAGAAATCGTGCTCTAGATTTCGTTCATTGTATCAACAGTCTAACACAGTGGAATTCTCTTGAATTTTTTTAATTGTAACCCATCAGATATGCGGGCAATTAACTTTTTTTTTTCTTTTCAAGTGGCCATTCTATCGAGCACTAACATGTAAACCGTACCGGATTGTAAATTATGTGCGATCTTTACAATTTCGCTCTCTTCTTTTCTTAAATAACAAAAATCATTATATCTATATCTATTACTTTGTGAAGTCACGCTCCTTATTTAGGTTATGAAATTAGACTCTTGTACTAATACAATCGAATTATTGGTGAGGTGGCGCCGTTTAATGTGCTGATTTGAGTAAACAGAAAGATGCATTTGACGGGTGATTCAGTGATATAATAAACTAGCTCATAAATAGGACCGTTACAAGATAAAAAAAAAAAAAAAAAAAACGCAGGTACGAGCTATTTCTTAAATAGAGGAAAGAAAGATAAAAAAAGAAATAAAAATTATTTCGTTTACTTACTGTTTTTTTATTCTGGAATTGCAAGTTTGACACTAGTTGATTTCTCTTTGTCTGCTTACTGTTTTTTTTCTTCTTTGTTGTTTGGCTGCTTTACTTTCTGCTCCTCACTAGTAGCACAAGTAAGATTTTCCTCTCTGTGATTTTTTTCTCGACTGTGTGATTTTTTTCTCGACGCCCCTCGGGCCTTGTACAGCTCTTTTTATACACTGGGGGTGGCTGGATCGTAAGTCCCTCTCTCAGCGTCTTGGTTTCGGGAGGAGTGGAGCAGGCAATGATACGTTAATTGGCTCGTTTGTCTCTTCTCATTTTTCTCGCTGGGTTTTCGGGCCCTGATTGGAGCGAAAGCGTGGAAAAAATCGGAGGCGTGGACGCAAAGGCACAGGCCTTAGCTCGCGAGATGGCTCCTCGAGTACCGTTCTCAACCAAGATTTATCCAATAACCAGGTTTACAATAACTTAAAAATTATTTTTTTGTATAAACTCGATAACTTACAAGTTACTTAATACTAGAGACAATATCGTAGGTTTTTTCGCAATTACAGTTGATTATAATTTATATTGAGATAAGTATTACAAATAATTATAAGTATAAAATTTGTATTGAAATAGAAAATAAAGTGTAACTTATTATATCGCACGCGTGTAACTTATTATATTAAATTATTCACTAATCATGCAATTCTATTTATTTTAAGTTTTAATCGGAGAATTAATACAAAAATAACTTATGTAACTTAACAAGGCGATTATTTCGTAATTTCTTACAATAAAAATTCGTTTAATAACATAGTGCGCATATATAATTTTTTCTTGATTTTCCCTGTTTTCTTATTTTGTAGCTAACCGGAGGTTCGGAGTGAGAATTTGATGAGAGGTTTGAGAGGTCATAATTATCCGGGATGTATTGCGAAAGTTAAATAATTACGTTTGGACAATTTTAATATTTATTTCATCTCAATGGTAAATTTTCGAGCATCTTAAAAGGAGGAAAAATCCGTTAGGAAAAGTAGCATACAGGATGCAGTCGCGGTTTTATGATCCTCTCCTCCCGTCGACATGTTGACGCCTGTTAAACACGGGCAAGGGGGCTACGCGCTTTTTGCATGCGTGAGAGAACATTGGCTCGAATGTAGTACGGATTTTATTTCTTTTCGAGGGATATTCTTATCGCGGTCATCACTCATCTCGATCCCCCTCGCTATTGAGCAACTGTTCTCGTTCCATGCTTGGCTTAGATGCTATACACAAAAAATTCTTATAAAAATTAAAATTATATTTTCTGCCATCACACCAAAACATGTTCAAGCATATGTTGTAACAACATTGTGACAACGTTCAGAAAACTGATTAATGCAACATTTTGATTACATTTGTTTTCAAATAAAGGTGGACATGTGGACGTTTCGGAAATATTGCTGCTGCTGCTTTTTTGTTCTTGCCAAAAAAGTTGCGATGTGTTAAAACAATGTTTTGGCAACATTTTAGAAACAATTTTTGCTAATTGAGCAGTGATAGCAGCTAAGAAGAAAAGAAAAGTAGCGTATGAACTTAAGAATGGTTAGTGCTATTCAACGGGCTACCTAATAGAAGTGGATGAAGATGAATAGTCACCATTCATAATTCTGTAATAAGTTGCACATTTCGTATTCACACATTTTACATTTTATGTTCATGTACATATCCATAAACAAAATAACTGTACTATGAAGCTTCATGTATTGGCTGAAATAAACCTATAGAGCAGTACGAAAGTTCATTTAAAAGATCATTCCAAGCCTTCTAAATTATGTATATTAGCATTATGTACAGATATTTTTCTTTTATGTAGCGAGGCAAATATCAAGACAAAAATTACGAAATTTTTATAGTTTTTTTTTTTTTTTTTTATAGAATTATTATAACACTATTCTCCAGTAAATATACTGTCTTTGTTTTACAGGTGGTTGGAATCACGACGCTCTCAAGAAGCTCGATTATGGTACGCTTAGCAAAAACATAGATGATGCACATAGTGCACCATATGGCCAATTTGTGCAAAAATTTTTTGTCAAAGCGGCGGACAGTAATTGTCTTCCTCAACAGAGAACGGAGACTTCTCACACAAACAATTCGTTGTTTTGGGAGAGGACCTCGTAAACTTCTCTCTTTTGTGTACGGGCATATGTAAATGCTGAAGTACAAAATACGTCACCGATTGCCCTCGACAAGCAACCAATGCTAGTCGACCCGAAGTGAATGCAATGTGTATTTAAACGAAGACTTGCAATCACAAGTGCGGATGTGTGTACCTTCACGCAGTGGGGCTGAAAACGCTGTCTCTGTAAAGAAACAGTAGGCAAAACACACAACGCTTGCCCCCAGGGTAAAAGGCCAACCGGGCAAACAAAAGAAACAACACGGACCATGACAACACGTGGTGAGGTGGGGCCTGTAAACGCCCAAACATTCAATGCGAAGTCTACCACACCCCAAGTGCTCAACTCGAGCCCAGAAAAGCCAAAATCCGGGAGTTACTTGAGGGGAAATCTCTTAGGATTGTGGTACCGCGCGCCCTCTTAGAAGACGGGAGACCGCTCCGGGAGCTAGTTGCAGAGGAACACTGGTCCCGGCAATCCGAATTTAATTCGGGTAGATAAGAAATTACTTTCTATCGACTGGCAATCGGTAGGTGCCACTACTGTGGGTAAAGAGTCGCGGCCGTGGTCATAGGAGCCAACCAAAGTTCTTTGCCTCGATCTCCTGGAGTAAGGCCCGACACCATTGTACGAGAGAACAGTTCATTGGGCCGAGTAACTCTCGATGACTAGAACGCACTACGCATGCCGAAACCCTTAGGAAAAATATTTCCACAGAAGGGCAGCATCCTTCCTGCTAAGGAATTGCTTAAGCCCTAATAGCTAAAACAATTTTACATTTGAAAGCGAAATTAGTTGCTGTCAGCTCCCTTTGAAAGCGAAGCCAACAGGAGGGACCAACTTCCAACGTGCCGTAGTACAGGGGGTGAGACGG